AACTGCCAGAGATATACATAATAAACAGTATAACTGTTTATTATCTTTGTTGCTCATTTCTCCATTTCGGAATCAAAGTACTTCCTTCACTATATCTGGACGGTAAGATCTGCTATAGTATATGACTATAGCAGAGAGCATAAGAAAACTTCACAACAATCCTTGGGATGATGATCTAACATGCTGCTTGAGTCTCTAGATGCTATCATATAAGTGATACTACTGCAAATTCTGTTCTTTGCTTTTTAATGTTATCTTAACTTTCTCTTGGTGAAGTGCCCCATCTTAAAGAGCACAGACCTCCACAGACATGCTGAGCATTTTTCACAAGAGTTGGGGGCACTCTTAACTTCCCAGGAGACACAGAGTACCTTGTACAATCAGTCACAGTCTCTACAAGGTAAATTGAGATGGTTTAAAGAGATAATAGCTTATCTGTAAGGATTCTGTTCATTCATCCACAAGCACACTCACCTAGGTACACACCCCATATGCCAGATTAAAAACAGATCAGGCATTGTTCAACTGGATCTAAAAATCTTTTATCAGTACTTGCCTCAAACAATTCTACCATGGTTCATAATAGCAAATGAAAAATACTTTTGTTTACTTTTACCCTTCAACAGCCAATAAAAAAATACATTTCAGTAGCTCAGCTGACCACGAGACTGCCCAGACACAAGTAACAAGATAGACACTAGTGCAGGACACCAGCTCATTCTCAGCACAGCAGTAGCACACACAAACTCTACTCAACACCCTTCAAGTGGGTGGGAAGGCTGCCCGCTATGAAACCTCACTGTTGGCTCTCAGCCCAAAACGAAAGGACAGCAGTAAACTGAGACAAGAGCTTTCCAGTCATATTCCTTACACTCACAGAGCATGTGAAATAAAAGCCCTGTGTGCACGTATGTACGTACCTATATTTAGCCACCTTGTAAAACTGAAGTAGGACACTACCAATTTAAATTCCACCAGAGTTTTTGGGCATACTCATCCTATCTATTCTCATCTGCATAGCTGCAAAGCTTGGGTAATACCTGACTGTCAGCAGGGCTTACTGTAGGTAATACCACTTCCACAATTTTGATAGCTGACCCAACACAGAATCATAATACCATCCAGCACCAAAAAACCACTAAGTATATAGGACAAGGATCAATTAAGATTTCAAGGGGCCTTGGGCCTAATCAGAGATCAGTCTTCCATTTCTAACCCTCCTCTTTCCAACTGCTGAGATATTACTGAGGGCCAGAACCCTACTGCTTGCCTTTGCAGTACCTGCAGTTCACAGTGGTGGTAGAGTTAAAAATTCTCCTCCTTCTTCCATTCCACTGGAAGAACAGGCTATCCAGCCCAACCCTCTCTCTCCCCCATTCCCAGACTCACAGACTTCCCACGCACAAGAGCCCAGCTCTGCTCGTGCTCTTTTACTGGGCAGGGGAACAGCCAGCTGAGTGAATGTGGAGGCATGAGCTGCTTACGGCCTTCCCACTGCTCTGTGCTGAAGTGCTGTGCAAATATCACTGCTCAGTTCTGCAGAGAATCAGGTTTGCCCATACTTGGTTGAACAGAAGTCTGTTTGCATGAATATTATGAGAGTATCAACACCTAATGACTTTAGAACTCTGTACCTAGGGAATCACAGTATTAGCAACATGTCAATATATTGCCCATGACCTGGAATATGTTTCAAATCTGTACCAGTATTCATAGGAGTATTGACTGGTATGCTATAATGGCTCATGTAACAGCTCCTATCCATTACAACGATGAGCCCTTGGCTACACTTAAGCCATAATGCTTGGTTCTGAGGATATGAATATAACACTGAAAGATGAAGACCAGGCCATGTGAAAGTAAGTGTCAGGCATACTTAGTGAAATTCATGAAGATCTGGTTGTAATTTTAACTGTATTGTCACTGAAGTTATTATCATAAGTAAGTTTTGGCAATACTTTATTTCTCCCACATATCTGTTGCATATGCCACTGGATGGGACGGAGGGTGCTTAGAAATAGCACTAACATGAGCATTGCTACACTCTTATCAAACCACTTTACTAGGGCAATCCTTGCACGTAACTCTGAGTAGAGTGGCAGATGAAAATAGACATCTAAAGGCTGCATCAGCAACATCTATTCCAGTGTTCACATCTTTACAACTTTGGCTGTAACTAGTCTTAAAACCAAACACTTCCATTTGAAACCAAATATAAGCAACAGATAAGGACAACAAAAGCACCATGTTCTAGTAAGAAGCAGGCATCAACTGATCCCAGGAAAAACATTATAGTGAACCTTGCATTTTACAAAAAAACAGCAGGCTGTTGGAGCATAATTATTTTCTTCATTAGGTTTTGGTATTACCAAATGTGAAACTCTCACTCACTGACTGTTGTCATGCACTACCTAAACCTGCAAAAGTAGGTTATAACTATAAATGCTATAGTATTACTAAATGATTTATTGTACCCTTAAACTGCTACCAAGACAATAGTTTGATTCTACTTACTGATCAGCTCATGACTAGCTATGACTTACCAAAACAAAAATCCTGTGTATTTCCTGAATTATGTAGGTGTCTTGAACTTTTGGACACAACTTATTGCTATAATAAGCCACTCCAAAAGCTCAGATGCAGTCCAAGCAAGTATTCACACCCCTGCTGCCAACCCCATTGACTGCTGTATTGGCAACTTTTGGAGTTAAGATCCCTTTCAATGTTTGTTACAGTGGCTGTCTTAAGAGAAGCATTTCTACACAGCCAACAAATGTAACACACAATACGACTAAGGTTTAGCCCAAATGTGACATTGTAGAATTGCACTGCCTGCATATGTTATATAACAATTATAAATATATATAAAATACATAAACAATTTCACAGCCTCCTATATAAAAATCAGCTATTTGCATATTAAATGAGCACAAGCACTCTCTAGCTACTGAGAACAGCTCTAACTCACGACTAGGATGCCCAAGCCCTAGGGGAGTGAAACTATGCAACATTTAGATTAGATTTCTTTCAAATGTATTTTACATGTCCTACAGTTGTCTTCTCTGTGCATTTTAAGGGATCTTAGATTTCCACATCTTTGCCCCACACAGTCATCTGATATTTAACCAAGGACTGAAGAGGTCAACATTAGGTAGCTTCCTAGGTTCAGCATTAGGTTTTACCATAGTGTTCCCCTCCAAAATGTACAGTATTTCTGCTGTCCATGTTGAAAATAAATTACACTATCTTTCTCCCAAATTTTCAAAAGCTACCCTTAAATGGAGATCAAATGTTTTCCACAGGTTTTATACTTTCAAATCGGAGAAGGGGAAAATCCCACTTTTGGCTAGTGAGTCTATTCTGGATATGCACAGATGGAGTGAAATTATTTTGTGGTGTAACTGATAAGGAAAGTTACTCACTAGATAGAAATTGGTTGGAAAATAGATTTAAATGGCAGAGCAATATAACTCGCCTTATTTGGTTGCCACGGGCAAAGCAACAAAAGTAGCACTCCTGAGATGCAGAGGAGATGTTTATAGCAGGGAAAACAACACAGAGACAGACATGCTGAGGTCTCTTTATCTGATAACTTTGTGGTAATTGCCTTTCATGCCCTGTGGCATGTAGGATGCACTAATTTGGCATTCAGTGAATACAGTAAAGAAATGTAATGCAAACAAAAAAGAGTGAAACTCTACCCTACTGCTTTACCTTATAAAATTATCAAGCTGCAGCAGTGCTGGCATCATCACAAAGTCTGAGGTAGGCACTTCTATGAGCCAACATCATCCTTTTCCTAGAGTCCAGCCTCATTTTCATCAATGTACATGACTGATTTCATCAGTTCTTTCCAAGCAGCTCTGCTGTGAGGTCTAGTTCTATTTGCTGACCAAGATTTTGCCCTTGGTTTGAACCCCAGCTGAGTGGTTATAGGGATTTCTTCCACTTGTCCAACTGTCCACTGATGTCTCTTATATTGAAGGTAGGGAGTCTTCAAAAACTATTTCTACCAGAATCAACAGGAATTTTGTCTCTGATTTTAATGGATTTATAATTTTTCTCTGCTGCCCCTTCCTGTCCCTTCACCAACTACTGTGTAAAAGTAAAGTCATCAGTATTGCTGAGCAGAGCTCAGTTCCCAGGCACCTTCTTTTGTCAAACAGGTTTTTTTAATATTCTTAATATACATTTGGGGGTTTTCTCCTGTACTTTTTATACTGGCAGTGTGTCACCTCTTAAAAACCACATACAGCTCTGAGTACATGTGTTCCCTCTTTCTCATAATGGCTGACCCCAGAGACAGCAAGCCTTTATTACTAACTGCAGGGAAGAATGCACAACACTACGCTCTACCTGACACAGCTGTAGCTTCTCAACATCTGCTTTACAGTCAATCATTCAGCATCCAGACTCATCACTTCCCATAGTTTAATTGTGGGAGAAGAATACCAAAGACAAGAAGAATGAAAGAATAATGGACAAAGGTACACATACATACCTACACAAATACACAAATGTGGCGTACGTTCACTAATTTCTATTATTTGCTTTTTATAATCTGGCCACATCCCTTCTCCCCAGCCCCATTAAGAAAAATCTTATCAAGGTACTCTTACACACACACAGTGGTCTTTTTCACAAAGATTAGGTGGCAGATGCCAGAGTGAGACTTTGTATTAATAATGTGCAGAGGAAATAATTAGTAATACATTGATCCTTTACATCCTTATGAATTGCTAATAGAAGCCAGGATTCACCCCTACAGAAGGTAAATTCAGCTCCCATTGCATTCGATACAAGCTGTACACATTTCTGTAAGAGATGAGTTGCATGCAGAGGGTTTGGTTGTTATTGTGACAGCAAATCAAGTAAGATACAACAGATGCAATGAGAAATGGTTGGAGAGGGGCAAAGATAAAGTCCAAGGTCTAAATGCCAGGTTTGCATGTATGCCAGCTGCTCTGCAGTGCAGGAGAGAAAGGCAAACAAATACTTACCAGGTTTAATTTCCAGCAGCTTCAGCCTTGAATCCTCAGGGGGATGCAAACGCCTCTTTTTGCGCCAGCAACGTGCTGGGTATGTGTACAGCTGACCTGGGGCCAGGCCTGAAGATTAAAGACAAAAAATTAATCACATTTCAGTTTGTAAACCACAAGCACTGTCTCTAACATCTTTGTTCTTGCCCTTCCAGCATCTCCTTGTTGGAGGGTTCAATCCTGCAAATCATGAGGCAGAACTACTACACACTCAAGGCATCCAGTGCTCCTGAGGCTCCTCAGCACCTCTTGGGATCAGGCCTACAGAGAATCTAAGTTTCACTTAGACACTTCACTCAGCTCACTGAAACCAAAGCTGCACATAAATAATTTGTTATTTCTTCAGGGTAAATAGAATTTCAGACTCTCTTGGGTCACAAGGGCGATGCCTCCTCCACGGGCAGAGAAGGCCCCTTGGGAGAGAAAAGATGAAGTTCTGACATGCAAATCTTGAGGCCCTGATGTACAGAGCAACTCAGGAAATTTGTGTCTTCCAAATGGGAGCAAAACAAGATCCAAGAGGTCTGACTATATGGACTCTGTATTTTTGCTTAAATTCTGGATATTTGTTTGAATACCAATTCTTCATCCTGACCATTAGCTCCTCATGCCAATATCCTGATTGAGCGAGGAGATACAGCAGCAATGTTTACATTATTGCATTCTCCCTTAAATCACATTTGGCATTGCTGGCCTCTGAGCTGCCCTGGCTCTCCTGACAGCTACCCTTTAGCCAATGTTTGAGCTATACTTTGCTCTTTTGTATTCAGAACACAGCAGGGCTTCATGAATGCATCACTACTAGGGGCACAGAAGCACACTGACAAGTGCTGCAAAGTATCCTCAACTGCCCCAGATACTCACAACATACAGAAATGCCCAGAAAGACACAGAAAAGTTATAAGAATTAAATTCTTTGCTCTGCTTCCCTTGCCCTCTCTGTCCACCAGTTCTGCTTTGGCTCCTGTGTCCTGTCATTGTCTTGAAGGAGCTACAGTGTGACTGCAATTCCAGACTCACTGTCCTCAGAAAACAAATAAGACCACATAAAGAGAGGACAGGAGTGATGTTACTATATCTGAAAATGTACCAACAATGAACAGCCGGACAGCATCTAGGGGATGCCAGTAAAGCAGAACAGCTCAAGGGCATTAGGATGGCCCAAGAGTTCTCTCATCCCTTCTGAAGCAGCCAGGAGAGTATATCATCTTGGGAACAAAAATGACTCACCAAGCCAAATGCGAATATTGAAAACAACCAATATCCTGTTACTTGGGGGTGGGGAGGAAGACCAAATAAAATAATTCACCTCAAGGGAACGTGCTAATCAAATTCTGCAAGTGAAACCTAAGCTCCTGGTTTTAAATATTTCAGCTGTTGGGAATGCCAGTTCAGACCCCAGCACTTGCCACCAACTTCCAAGGCCTTGGTGCATAAACATAGCATCTACAGCATAATCCCTGGTTGTGGCCAAGTGATGGAGTATTTGCAGAGATCTGGCTGTTTCAGGGCACAGAATGCTATTGGACCTGGGCTTTTCATGCCCTTCTTTCACTGATGCTCAGCAAGCTGGGCATTATGCCTACTCCAAGGACACATTTCAGAACAGGTTGCTTAGGACTGGTGGGAATAAAAATGTGAATAACTAGCACTTCTATAGTGTTTGGACACTCCTCTTCATAACACTTTGCAAACATTAACCACTGCAAACAATTGCCTTAATGATGAGGTGGATTGTGCCTGGCTCTGATTGAGTAATTAAAGAGGTGGAGGCAAGAAGCTTCACCCTTTCATAGCAGATCCTGTTTAAGAACTTGCACACAACATTGAAATGGTGGTTGTTAGACCAAAGTAATAGGACAGAGAATCAGCCCTCCGTTGCAAGAGTTGCCACAGAGGAGTCATTTGAAAGAAATAAGCACCACAGCTTATGTCCCAGACAGAAAGGAGCAAAGATGTACTGAAGTTTTGGGGGAGTATCTGTTAATGTAGGTTCAACTGTTGAGCACTCTTATGTGAAAGAGCAGTTCTGGACTGAGCCAGGACAGTGAAAGCCAACTGCACATGCTGAAAGTCCGACTAGAAATAAAGCAGGTATCCTTGAAAGGAGAGAGGTCAGAAAGCCTCTTTCCTAGAGGACCTCCAGGTGGCAGGTAGATCAATAAGAGATGGATGGTCCAACAACCACCTCTGCATCCCTTGAGGTAAGCTCTCTGTTCTACTCACAATACCCCTGTTCATTAATACACTGCCATCCAATTAACTTAATACATGTACCAGACCTTACCTTGATCCAAACCCATCAATGCTACCTTCACTTCTCTACCCTGTTCCATCTCTGTCACTGTGCTGCCTCACATAAAGTGTAGATCTTACACAAAGGAGAGGCAACAAGGAAAGGGTCAGTCCTGGATACTTTGAATCTAGCCCCTTCACAGTCAATCTTACAGTGGATATGGAAATAATGCATATACAGGTCTTACTGTCTTTAGTCCTTAGTGGGTTGTCTCTCCCTCTGGTACCTTATAGGGCAACCAGAGAAGGTTCCAACCATTTGCTTATAGAGGAAATAGCAGAACCTGCAGTGAGTTATGTTGTTTATCTTATTAGTGTAGGAGAGTCATAACTCAAAGTTCGTGTGAAAGGCCAGGCGAGGAGGGGAAAAGGAGGGAGTTATGTGCGATATTGTGTGAAATTAACCCTGAACTGTTTATCATGAGATGAGTTTTCTGACTCCTTTAACAAAGAGGACAGCAAGAATCCAGGTTAATATGCTGAGGTCCTGACTCTCCTCTGTTTTTCAAGCCTGTATAAGTGAAAAGAGAACCTGGAGCTTTGCCATTTGTCTTTATACAGTTTTTCAGGTTAGGGGTAGTAAATGGTAGTGAGCACAGCACACAGGACAGATACCAGGATGGCTGGCAGAGCCAAAAAAACAGGCATGCTAAAACTGTAGAGGGATGCTTTGACTCACCATAATATTACAAGAAATAGATTATGCAAAGATACCCAAGGGAGCACTAAATGGGCCAATAAAAATCAAGAAAGAGGAAAGCAAATATGGGGAAGGAGGGCTGCTTCATTTCACACTGATTATTCTAATTCAAAATAACAAAAGCATAAGGTTTGGTGGCCAATCCAGACACAGGAGGCTTCTTTCACTTGATACTCTCTGTGAAGAATGTTCCACCATTAGTCTCCACTGCAGACCTGCAGGAGAAATGTCACTGCTCCTTTTTTGTAGGGCAAGCTGCCAAACAGTTCACTATCAGAAGTGAGGAAAGAAAGACTTGCAGAGCGAATTTGCTCAAGGTAGTCCACAGAGCTTGTGTCTGAGATAGGCAAAGCATTAAGACTTCTTGGTTCCTGGTGTGATGCTGTAACACTTTCATAATGGTTTCTTCTGCAAGTGCACAGACATCAATGAGACACACACAAGACTTTCTAACTATCTTTGTAGAAGTTGCTGTTGACAAAACATTACTTGTGAATGTAGCAGATGTATACCTGTTTTTATATATACCTCCTGACTGTGTTCAGAAGAATAAAACTAGCAGCACCTTACTCATAACAAGATGTTATAAGAACAGAAATTCCTTGGGTAAATGGATTAGTCAAAAAAAAAAAAAAAAAAAAAAGCTACTTTTGCCAAAGCATAATCTCTTAGGAATGGGGAATTTTCAGCTGAAGCAAAAACTCAACTATGGTTATGAAGCAACCCCACAAAAGAAGGGTGAGTCCAGAAGGTCAGACAACTCCCAGCTTGTAAACCACATTCAGTGGTCCCAGATTACCCCAGTAGTTTTGGAAGCTGAAATATTCTTAGGGTATTTTTAATGCTGTAAAACACCTGTGTCTTCTGCATGTTACTATAGAAAGAGTTTTCTGATAGTAGTGCAAGATAACAATAAATCTACTTTGGATATTTTAGGCATACGAGGAACGCAAGGATCCTTCCCTCAGTATATCGTAGGAAAGGGAGAAGGGAAGTTTCAACTAAGTCTCAGCTAAGCACTCTTCAGAAGCAGCAATTGCTTTCTTAGCTACAGGAGAGTGGGGGAAACATCCCGTGCATTCCTTGCGCTTCATCTCCTGTAAACAGGTCAGTGGAAGAGGCTAGAGCAGGCTGCACCTTCCCGTAATTTCAGATCTAGAATTTGAGGGGAGGAGGGGGAGTTCAGTATGGTTTACAGGAACTGACAGGTATTTATGCACATGTACATGTCATGCTTCCAGTGACCATGTACCCTAGCCCCCTTCCTGCCTGGATTCTCTGGTCTTTATTAAAGAAAAAAAAAAAAGAGTAGTAACCCAGTTTGGTGCTGTCAAAAAATCTGTTCCTTGAGCATATTGTTGCTCAGACACTGAGATATACCCTAGCCAAATTCCCCTGTGGTTCAGAAGGATTTCTGTCAGAGTAACATCTCCAGGTTTTGAGCTGGTGACTGTCCTTTGCCTCTCAAACAAGGATTTCAGATGGATTTACTCTAATAAAGGAAAGACTGACCAAAGTCCACAAAAAAACCAGTGCTCTTTTCCCTTGAGCTTCACTGAGCTTTAGAACAGGCATTAACCAAAGCTCCTTAAGGAAATACACCAACTTCTTTCTGCACCCAAGGGAACTGCAGCTCCAAAACTGATATCCAAGTCCAAAACAGAATCAGGACTTATATGTGTGTATATATATATGTATATTTCTAACCGTTGGAACAACGCACATTCCATTAACTGGACTCTTCTATATTTTACCTCGGTTTTATATCCTTCCCAATGCAGTTCCTTATTTTCAGCGTTCATCTGAGAAACTCCCACCTCCACCTTGAAGATAATTCCAGTCCTACTTAGAGCAGAGCATTGTGTCTTCTGCTACAAACTGGGATCGATAGCATTAAAAGACCTACATTGATGAGGCCTTAGAAACTACCATGTCACACACTTCTACAGGTAGAGAGAGAATAATTAGCATGAGCTCTCTGCAGTTACTAAAGAAAATCCCCTGCAGGCACAGAGGTTTAGGCAGCTTCTCTTCTGTGTGGCCTGTAGCAGATTCTTGCTCCTATTAATTAAACCCCATGAGGGCTCAGCGGCCAGCCCTCGACACATGTGCATGCATACACAGACACAACGCTACCAACCTGGTCCCCTGTGCCTCTTCTCCATCCAGATGTAGCAGTTGTTCTGAGCTACCCCAGTTTGTGAATCCAGGAAGGGAAGACGGACACTTCGCTCGGCACACAGCCGAGAGTTGTAGCTGCGACAATGTTCAATTGCTTCTTTGTAGAACTGGTCCCCAAGTCTGCCAAAAGAGACAGGGCAGTCAGTGAGAATGATTGCGCTGCCCCCTCCAACAAGACTAGGAAAAAGGGACATGAGGTTGATTTAAAAATGGACAAACAGAAAAACTTTGCCTGAATAGATGCAAAGGTTGCGGACACGAGACACTGCTGAAGCAGATCATGCAGAAAGTGTCACCAAAAGATCAGACTCTCAGGAACCAGACACAGATCTTTTCAATAGCAGCATGGCTACTGAATGAGCAAATGATGCAACCACACTGGCCCATGACCCTGGGTCAGGCACATGTACACCATGATGAACTCACTCTATTGTTTTTCTTCCCCCCATAGTTTGTCCAGCCAATTCAGCAAACCAGTCATTTCAATCCCATGTTACAGCAACTCCTGCAGTATATTTTGAGCAACCAGAAAGCCAGTCAAGTTTAGAAGAACTTCACTTTAGCATTTTTGGCATCAGAGAGCCCATAAGATCAAAGAATGTAGTCCTCTTATTGTGCACTTCTGAGGCATGAAAACGCATCCCTTAACAACTAGAGCTATGTCTGCAATGGTCAGACTAGTCGTTTTGTCAGAAGCCTTCCAGAGTTTTCCACAGTGAAGCCTGAGGTGCCAAGAGCATCAGGCTACAACAGTGACCAGTAAGATCTAGCGTGGCAAATGCTACTTTCCTCTGGAACCTAGTGGGAGGAACATTTCTAAAGACAGTGTCACTTATTTCATAAAAAACTATTTGTTCAAAAATTCTGTGGAATCTTCATCTTCCCTTGAGAAAAGTTTAAAAACTCCGCCTGCTGGAGATTACCAAAATCTTCCCTTCAAATTTTTCTAAGCAGTGAAAAGCATCAAAGTAAAGCTACCCTGAGGACACAAAGCAGCTGTCATGCTGAAGCATTGCAAAGTAGGTGGGCCACACTGCTGAACCTCATTCTTGATCTATTGTCAAGGTGAAATTTAGTCATGACACAAACAGCTAGGAAAGCTACCCATTAGGGGTAAGTTCATTAGAAAACAGGAGTAGAGTGATATATAGCATAACTTGCTCTGACTCTGATATTCATTAGTGTGCAAAAAAAGTATAGCACACACAGCAAGGGAGCCAAAGGGATGCATGCACAGAGATAGAAAGGGCTCCCTTTCCTGTTCTATTAGTTGTTTTCCCCACTACCCTCTTTCGTAGGCACAACTGGCATTTTAAAACTTTGCACACCTCTGAATGTTAAATCAGTTCAAACTGCTCAGTTTTACCATTTGTACCTTTTTTGTGACTCACATCTTTCAAGGCACTCCTCAGTTGCACCTTACTACTTCCATGGGAATCAAACGCTTTTCTTCTGGGCCGTACTGGCCCCATATCCTCTCGCTGGCAGGGGCCAAACACAGAGGCTCAGGAAGAGCACAAATACAGCAAATACCAAGGGAGGCACCTCTTTAGCTCCCTCTTCTCACTTCTGATGATCAAAACTTAGTCTCCGCAAGTCTCAGGCCACCCAGTGATGGGAAGATTATGTTTAATAGACCTTGATGAATCTTCCTTCCATTAACTTATCCAACAAACTCTTCAACCCACTGATCTTTTTCATACCTAAAACATTGTGAGGTAAAGAGTTCCACAGGTGAAATACAACTCATGTTAAAAAAAAGCATTTCCTTATGCTTGTTTTAAACCATATCTCAATGTCATTGTAATTGTATTTACAATTACAAGTCTAAGTCTCTCACAAAGTTTTCACCAGGTCATTTTGCTAATGACCAGAGGGTAGCCAGAACACTAAGTCTGTGGATGTGGAATGAGTACCTTAGGTAGATGCTGGAGCCCACCAGCTTCCTGATGCCCTTTGCCACTCTGACTTCAGCCACCACATTTCAGTGTCCCCAAGGGAGAAAAGGGGAAAGCTCCTCACAGGCAGAAAATTCACACAGGACTCAGTACATCCTTTGGCTACAGAGACTTTCTAAGGGTTTTTCAGTGGTTTTGTACAGCAGTGGATGTCTGTGCGAATGTGATGCCTCTCAGCCCTGTACTCCCCTGCTGACCACCAACTCCCAGGCAGATGCTGGTGCAGGGATCTTTGCAGGGCAGATGAAGGAGAGAGCTCTCTGGACTGTGCAAGCAAGTGGAGGGTACAGCTGTGGGCAGAGCGTGTATGGCAGGATCCCTCTGGACATCGAATCCCCTGCAATGACCTCAAACGCCCTTTTCCATAAAAAGGCAGGGGGGAAGGGAAGGGGAACAAGGGAGAAAGGAAGAGATAAGCTGCACTACTATACAAAGAATGTGGCTAGGAAGAAATGAAAGCTTATTAAAAGCTGTAATTAAAGTTGTACACTTGTGTAATCAAAGTCAGTAACAAGGAGACTCCAGTTGATCAAAGATTAACAGTTCTTTCCACAAACACTTGAGCTAGTGCAGAGCTATGTCAAATTCCTCCAATATTAAGCCAGGGATGCTCACTAACTCCATGGAGTTTACTGGAAGGAAGAGCACAGCTGTGTGACAACTGCCATAACTGCATAGGTTTTCCTTATGCCAAAAATCACCTCAGTCATCAGAATATACACACCACAAAGCACTCATATTAACAGTACATCTCAGCAACCCAGATATAGGATCTGATGGGAGATTATTTCAGTTTCTGCCTTCTTTTAAGACTGAAAATAACTATAAATCTTAGAATGTTAAATATTTGGCTTTAAATCACACTATCAAGTACAGTGTAAGATTAAATTTCAGATTTTTTTAAGAGGGAGAAAAGACATTTTGAGATCCTCATGACAAAGAAGCAACTAAGCTATTAGGTCAAAATCATTCTTGGCAAAATCTTGTAGTCTAGTTGTTTCATTACATTTATTTTAAAGATTTTAAATATGTATTTTATGCCTTATAGAAAAAAAATCATTTAGGAGAAGCATTTAGTCACCTCCATACTTTAAAAAAGCTTGCCTTGGCTCCATTACAGCAAGCATGATCAAAAAAATGCAGTCCCCTAAGTATTCACTGGAAAGTTATTCAGACACTGAGACCTTAAGGAATTGCTCTGACTTCAATTATAATTTTTTTTTTAAAGTGACAAATAATCAAATATAGAAAGTAAAGAAACAGTATTTCCTTATGACACTCATATCTCAGTGGTAAACAGCTTCCCTGCAATTACTTTTGTGTGGTTGGTTGTTTTGTTTTACCATTAGTATTTACTGGAGGGATTCTGACTTGTTCCAAACTTCAGTTAGTTTTTTTTTAAGGAACTTTCTTTGTTTTCATTGCTACATATCTAAACAGAGCATATTTTATCTTATGCAAGCAATACAGAAAATACTATTAGAATCAGGGCAAAAAAAGAAAAGTACGGTCCTATTGTGTTCATCCCTGTGGAATAAGAGAGGTGGGACAAATCCCAGTCCCCTCCTAGGAGGTTTACAATGGAGCTGGAGAACAGACAAGGGTGGGAATAAGACTGAGAGCACACAAGCTCAGATGAAACTCAAACAGATCAGTTGAGTTTGAGCAAGTGAGGTACAAGAGGAGAAAAAAAAGAATGGACAACATTAATAGTAAAAAGTGTATCGTATGTCAGAAAAAGATTAACTATCTGATGCTACATGCTTCATAGTTTTCTCAAACTGCGTTGCTATGGCAGGCTTACACTTCATCTCCTGAAAAATTATGGGTAAAAACTATGGGGAATTTCTGCATTATTTTTATGAAAAGTATGTATGAGTCAGTGCTGTGCTGTGACTGACTGCAGGGGTCAATTCTTCCCTTTGGACATGGAAGTGAAAGGTCACAAAGACTTGTCTAGATTGATATTAATGACACAAAATCATCAGCATATGTGCAGATTTCAAAGATGCTTGGGGAAAAAACCCAAGGAGGAGACATGAACAACTGCTGGTAAAGGAAGGCAAATCGTACTGAAGGCAGCACAACTGGAAATACAGATTACAGTTGTCAGCACACTGCAAAAAGCAAAGAGCACTTCAGTGAAGAGCCACAGGTGAAATCCCAGATGTTTGGAACAGGCGTGCCAGCGACACTGCTGGCATACACGCAAGCTTTGGACTTACATTCCAGCCCACAGACACTAAAATAACCCCATTCTGGCTGACTAATAGAAGCTCCCTGACTTGGAAAAGACAACCTATGGTTTTACAAACCTCTGCAAAGCTGCATAGGAGGAGTAAATATTTAGTAAGAGTTAGGGGCTCTTTATTGGTGAAAAAAGGTAGGACTGAAACTAAACAGCAGGCTCAGAGCAGTGGAAGCTCAGTGTGAATGGGGAGATGAGCACTCTGAAAGCACCACCAGCCCTGTAGGTGCTGGGACAGTGATGTGAGGCTGGTGGAAATCTTTGCAGCCTTGCAGGTAGTCATTGGCATGACAGTAAGCACCAGCATGGAAGATTGGACCTGTGACTTTCTGAGGTCACTGTCCTTTTAAGTGTGAAGAAACTGAAGTTTTCTATTGTGGAATCAGGTCAGGTAATAGTGAGGTCAGTGAGGAACAACTCTTTCCTTCTCTCAACCTTTGCCTGCCTGCTCTAACCAGATAATAAGATTTCTGAGCAGACTCCAACTTACTACTTTTCTATACAGTACCTAGTGCCATGACTCCTCTGTCTAAGCATGCAAAAAATGAAGAAAAAAAAAAAAGAACCTGCCTAGTTTATGATGTTCATTTCTGTGCTGACGAGGGATCCTGATGGGCCCCTGAAAGAAGTGGAGCAGCTCTCCACCACTAATTCCCAGCCCATCCTGCAAACTCACAGATATTTGAGTGCACTACACCTTTTACAAAAGCTACAAAATGGGCAGAATCTAGCACAAGCCCTTCTGCAATGCCTAACACATTTCAGGTTAGGATCCAGAGGAGGTGAGCACTCACTGAAGACATATAACCAGCCAAGCTCAGCCATGATTACAGGTCCACATCACTCCAGGAAAACTTATATAACAAAGAACCAGTTCTCCTTAGATGCAGCTCTTAAATTTCCACCAGATCCTC